GTAGGTATTACGTCTAATTTATTTTTCATCCTGAGTCCTAGCCTAGTGTTTGGCTAAACTTTATCACTGCATTCCTAGAATTATTTCATTTGAAAGAACTTAAATCTTAATGTGCTTGAATGTGTCATTTAAAATTTATTTCATTTGAAAATGACTGTGCCCTAATTTACTGGTATGCTTTGACCAAGATTTATTCTGAATTCAGTTATGAAGGAGGAGCAACTTCAGAAGTTGAAAAGAGAAATATTTCTACTTGAGTGGCTTTTTTTTTTTTTTTTTTGAAAGTAGGAGGCTAAGTTAAATAATCAAGACTCTGCTTTAGAGGTTTTAGAAGTGAAAATAATTTTCTCTGACAGCCACATTAATGTATAATCCGGTGGGGATATAAAAAATAAAAGAAACAATCATGGGCTTGTTGGCAAAGTGATTACATAAGCTGAGGCACAGAGGAAAATGATTATAGCCAGGGCAAACTGTTTAAAAGAATTATATCGCTGGGCGCGGTGGCTCACGCCTGTAATCCCAACACTTTGGGAGGCTGAGGAGGGCAGATCATGAGTTCAGAAGATCGAGACCATCCTGGCTAACACAGTGAAACCCCATCTCTACTAAAAATAAAAAAGCTGGGCGCAGTGGCACGCACCTGTAGTCCCAGCCACTTGGACGGCTGAGGCAGGAGAATCACTTGAACCCAGGAGGCAGAGGTTTCAGTGAGCCAAGATCACGCTGCTGTACTCCAGCCTGGGCCACAGAGCAAGACTCTATCTCAAAAAAAAAAATATATATATATATATACATATATATATATATATATATATAATGGATATATATATAAATGGATATATAAAATATATATAAAATGGAAGATATATATATTTTTGGAGAGGATAGGAAATGTTCAAAATAGAGAAAATTATGTTTGTGGTTTCTACAAATCTTTAGATTTTTATTAAGTAAATCATACACTCATCTTTTCATGTCAGGTTGGTCTTTGCAGGGTTTTCTCCCTGAGTTTTTTCCCTTAAGAGATAGATGTGTCATTTTCTGCGACCCACTGATCACTCGGTCTGTAACATCTTTCACTTTGGATAGCGTTGTAAACTTCTATGAGTGACTGAAAGAATTTTGAGTTGCTCACATTTTATGTACTGTGCTTTTGAGATGAGGGTTAAACGAGGACCCTAAGGGGCATAAGTGAGGTTGACTTCTGGGCTCCAGAGATCAATGGTTCTCAAGAGCAGGAGAGAATTTTGAAAGTGGTAGGAAACAGGAAGATGATAAAATAATACCCTGATGAGAGGAATCTTGGAAATGAGCCTCGGGGAGAGAAAACAGAGATGTTTGAAGGAGAATTCAAAAATAGAAATCACTACTAATGCTTTAAGTTGGAATTGTTGCTTGGGGGTTTAATCAGTTACCTGAGGCTGATCCTGATGCATATGGGTGAGAACAGAGCGTCTGAGGGGGTCATTGGCCATCTTTTTATTTTGTGTCACTCCATGTCATTCTTCTTTTTAGATGATTCAGAACTCTGGATAGAAATAATCCCCAGAGCTCAGAAAAAATAGTCACTTCCATCCTAACCTCACCTCACCACTAGGGGCTCTCTCTGAGTTTGGTAGCTTCACTTCTGCACTGACGATTTCATATAAAATGAAAAAATATATTGGTGATAATTCTAATGTGTGATGAAGACTCCTCTGGATCTGTGTACCTATCAGAAATAGGATTATGCCATTTTGGTTCTTAGCTCATATAAGAAACATAGATAGATACAAAGATTAATGCATCACTTTCACACAGTAACGGCTGGCAGAACTGGAGGTAGAACTCCACCATCTGGTCCACGTGTATGAAGCTCTCACCCACTTCTTTGAAAGATTGCTTGGAAGAAATTAGAGATAGACCAAAGACGGGAGAGGAAAAAAATCTTCATTTTTCTGACCTAAAGTAACAATTTTACCTCTTTTAACAGGTAGTTAGAAGAAGACCATCCTAAATTAAGAATAACAATACTACCGCTTTTAACACAGTGTCATTATTGTCATAAGACAGTGGTCAGGCCTGATCAGTTCCGAACCCATCTGCATAGATTTCTTATTAATCAGATTCACAGCCTGGTATTTGCATGTGAAAGTTTCAGACCATTCTGGAATGTGACTCAGTAGATGAAAAATAATTCACTTTTAAAAATTCTTAACATCTTTAAATGCAATTTACTAGCTGGCATGACTTGGAAGAAAATTAAGGAAAAAAAAAAATAAGAGTGTGTCTGATGATTCCTGAAGGATCTAGAAATAGAAATCCCATTTGACCCAGTAATCCCATTACTGGGTATATACCCAGAGGATTATAAATTGTTCTATTATAAAGACATATGCACATGTATGTTCATTATGGCACTGTTTACAATAGCAAAGACCTGGAACCAACCCAAGTGCCCACTGATGATAGACTGGACAAGGAAAATGTGGCACATACACACCATGGAATACCATGCAGCCAAAAAAAACGATGAGTTCGTGTCTTTTATAGGTACATGGATGAATCTGGAAACCATCAGTCTCAGCAAACTGATACAAGAACAGAAAATCAAACACTGCATGTTCTTACTCATAGGCAGGTGTTGAACAATAACACATGGACACAGGGAGGAGAACATCACACACTGGGGTCTGTTGGGGGGCTAGGGGAGGGGCAGCGGGAGGTGGGGAGGTTGGGGAGGAGAACATGGGGAGAAATGCCGGATATAGGTGACGGGGAGATGGAGGCAGCAAACCACCTTGCCATGTATGTACCTATGCAGCAATAGTGCATGATCTGCACACATATGCCAGGACCTAAAGTATTAAAAAAAAAAAAAAAGCGAAAGGAAGGCAATGAAAATAGGGGAAAATACCTTTTCTGACGAAAGTTGTGCTGAATCAAGTCACATGTGAGGTTAGCCAGCAAAGCTGGACATTTGCCACAATTGGCTGTTGTGTCTGGCTGATGAAAATGACAATAAGAAAACAACAAAATAACCTAGGATAGGCAAGTGCAATGTGAAATTGTCATTTTCACATTACTGTGAATCATGTATTGCTTTGTTATATAATTAGTTGCTTAAGAGCGTGTCATGGTTTTAGAAAAACAGCCCTGAGGTTCGGTCTCGCTCTACTACTTGGTACCAGCATGACTTTGGGAAAGTGTTTATCTCATGTCTTCATATTAGTCCTTAATTATCCTCATCTGTAAAATGGGATAATATAATAAGGTCAAACCATTATATATGCCCTATAATAGCATACAAAATTGCTATTTCTGAAAGTCAGAAATTATCATATATTAAAAATGCTTTTATTTTTTAATAAAGAAAAAAAATTCTTTATTTTCTCCATTCAAAATAATGAATCAAGTGCCTCCTGTGTGTTAGATATTATATTAAATCTTAGGAATTCAAACTGGTACCATCTGCATCCTCAATTCCCAACTCTTAAAAAAAAGAAATTATCATATATTGGCAGGTTCATATGATTCAAGCTAATAGCTTTTACCTCATAGGATTTTTGTGAGTATTAAATAAAAAAATGCATGAAATGCTTGCCACAGGGGCTCATAGTAAGTGCTCAATAAATGGTGGATATTATCATAATTAAATGAATCACCTAATTATTTTCTATATAATAATCAAACTCAATCCCTTATTTATAACTTCTATATCAAATTTTTTAATTTTTTTTTTTTTTTTGGGACGGAGTTTCACTCTTGTTACCCAGGCTGGAGTGCAATGGCACGATCTCGGCTCACCGCAACCTCCGCCTCCTGGGTTCAGGCAATTCTCCTGCCTCAGCCTCCTGAGTAGCTGGGATTACAGGCACGCGCCACCATGCCCAGCTAATTTTTTTTTTGTATTTTTAGTAGAGACAGGGTTTCACCGTGTTGACCAGGATGGTCTCGATCTCTTGACCTCATGATCCACCCGCCTCGGCCTCCCAAAGTGCTGGGATTACAGGCTTGAGCCACCGCGCCCAGCCTTCTATATCAAATTTTAAGTTCAATCTATTTACTAGAATACAACAATTTAGTGCACATTGATTTTTCCTACAAACATCCATATGCAATGATTGCTCACTAAAATGAGAAAGGGTGGGGTATACAGTATGTGTTTTTTTGGATTTGGCTTCTTTCACTTAGCATGTTTTTGAGGTTCATCTGTATTATAGCATGTATCAGTACTTCATTCCTTTTCATTGACAAATAATATTCTATTGTGTGGATATATTACATTTTGTTTATCCATTTATCAGTTGATGAAAACTTGACCTGTTTTCGCTTTGGGGCTCTTATGAATAGTGCTGTTATAAACATTTGTGTATAAAGGAATACACTGTGTGATTCCATTTATATGAAATGTCCAGAGTAGGCAAATCCATAGAGAGAGGAAGTAGATTAGTGGTTGTTAGGGGCTGGGAGGAAGGGAAATGGGGGTAACTACTAATAGCTACAAGATTTCCTTTTGGGGTGATGAAATGTTCAAAATTAGATAGTGGTGATGGTTGCAAACATTATAAGCATACCAAAGACCACTGAGTTGTGCATATTGTAAGGGTGAATTTCATGGTGGGTGAACTGTATCTTAATGCAGCTGTTATTTAAAAAAATGGGAGACATTTCATTAAAAATGTATGTTCACCACATAAACAGAGCACCTGATAGTATATGTAGTTTATTGTCAAAAGGAGACACATTTTGCCTTGAGAAGGGTTTCAGTAATGTTTTTAATCTATTTCCATTTTAAGTATAGTGTACTTCGCTCTTATTCTGCTTAGCATTTGTGATTGAATTTGACTCTCAAATTATTCAAAGAGCTGTGTTGAGTTTTGAAAGGCAGTAGAAACAATGGGGAAAGCAGATATAGCTCGAAGGTTGTAGAGTTGTACTGGTGCAGAAAATTCAGTGAGATTAACCAAGAAATTGGCTCAGTAAGAAACCAGGGACTCCCAAAGGGGGTTTTAAAATTCAGAAACAGGAAAAAATTAGGAAGAGTTTTATTTGCAATTTACAAAGTTTAGTATAATTTGCAAAATTATACTAAATTTTTTGAGGTTTAGTATAATTGAAATGTGCTTCAATTTTCAGGAACATTACCTACAAATTGATATTAGGTGGTCTGTAGCTTGTGATTGATGTGGTTCATAATAAAGATGGCAGTAAAGATGTTTTAAATATTCTACTGCTCATTAGATTTCATTTTTGCAGGCAATTTGCAGCTCCTCTGAGAAAAACATTTATATTCAATTACAGGGTTTGATAAATAGGATTTCCCCCCATTCCACCCCTTCAAATCACTGCAAAGTAGTAATAGTGCTTTCTTCCAGGGAACAAAGGTAAGATTATAGCCAAATTTCTTTCAAAACCTCAGCAGCATCTTCTTTTGGTAGCTGTTTAGATATTTTCTTCCACTTCTCTGACTTCAGATGACACAACCTTGCCATCCACTACTTCTTCCACGACTGTCTTAATCTTCCTGGTTTTCTTTATATCTGAATTCATATTAAACAATAAATGTTAATTCAGGCACATGACTTTGTTGATTTATAATATCCAACTTTAAATTATTATTTTTACTTATTTCCTTCTTTTAGAAAAATATGTTAAACCCATCCTCTTTATCAAATAATCCTAAGTCCATTTTATAAATAGATGTAGAAAATGTGCTTCTCCCCAAATTTAAAAATATCCTACTCTTCCCACCCCTAAACAGAAATAAATGATCTTGAATTTAAGAGGAATTCACATTTTGTCTTATTTTTCCTTTTCAGGACCTCAGGATGTCTCAAGATAACAATAGCACAGGCCAAGAAAATCACCCCATTCTGAAGAATGTGCCCAAATTCCCACATGGAGGGTTTCTTTATGCCATGTACAAGAATTTTAGAATCCTGGTGTCATATCTGCTCTCTTGAGAATTGGCCTCTGCTATGGTTTGGATGTGTTCCCTAGGGTTCATGTGTAGAAAACTTGATCCCCAGTGTAACAGTGTTGGGAGGTGGGGCCTAGTAAGAGGTGATTAGATAATGAAGACTCTGTCCTTGTGGATGGATTAATGTGGTTACCATGGGAATGGGTTAGTTATTGTGAGAGTGGGCTTGTTATAAAAGCAAGGCCAGCCTCCTCTTGCTCTCTGGCTCTCATACACACTCTTTTGTGCTTCCACTTTCTGCCATGGGATGGCACAGCAAGAAGGCCCTCACCAGATGATGGCACCTTGATACTGGGCTTTCTGGCCTCCAGAACTGTGAGCCAAGTAACCTTCTACTGTTTGTAAATTATCCAGTCCCAGGTATTCTGTTACAGAATCAGAAAACAGACTAAAACAGCCTTACTTTACTTTTTATTAGTGCAGGTAGTCAATAGAAAGCAGCTGAGTGTCATAGAAAATGTGCAAATTTAGTACTTACCTTTCTCTTCCTGGGTGCTTAACTGATACTCCGTAATTCTGTTTTTTTTTTTTTTTAATTGGAAAGAAGAAAAAATAAACAGATAAAAGCGTTATTGCTGTTCTGAAAATGGAATGCACTCCTTTCATATTTCAAAGTAAAATCCAAGTGAATGTGTTTTAATGCTTTCATATTTATTTACCTTTTACATTGCTTGTCATTGCAAACTTGAGTGTTTTAAACTTGAAAAATACATAGCTTTAAAACTGACCAGTTTATTATATGCTAAGGAATTCCTCTAATTAAAATAACAAAAATACAATGGAAGTTCAAATTTAGTGTTCTCTTGTTGATATTCTTAGGTATGGTATCTGAAGACAGTAGCTGCCGCCACATTGATGATTCCCAAAGTGACTCCCATAGACCTCGGCAGCTTATTGTCTAATTCATGAGCTCTCGGTTTGAATTTCCAAAAAGTTATTGTGCTTTCAATTATATATTAATGATAAAAATTAGTATCAGCATAACCTGTGTCATTTGGAGAATTATCTTCTAACTCAGTCCTGCCACATGATCTCAAGGCTGTATTTGAGAGTTTGGGCATGCGTGTACTTTTTGGTATATTGTTGTTTTGTTGTTGGTGTTGAGGTGTGTGAGTATAATTGCTTCTGTACGGGGGATTGCATTGATGCTGGGTAATGAGTGACAGGGACATTAAAATAGGCGTGCATACGGACATTGACACCTATTTCTTGATTCTAAGAGCCTTACTTTACATCTTCTCCTTCCAGAAGGCGGCGGTAGGTAGCAATTTCCTGCTCAAGCCGAGTCTTTATGTCAAGAAGGATATGGTATTCGTTGTTCTGGCGTTCTGTGTCACTCCGAATCTGCATCAGTTGGGCTTCCAGAGAGCTCAACAGCGACTGGAGGTTGGCTAACTGGATGCTGTAACGGGCTTTGGTCTCCTCTAGGGTATGCTCCAAAGACTCTTTCTATGAGCACAAGAAAAATAGGGCATTTCTTATCTGAGGACTTGATTCAAGAGATGGATCAATTTTCATTTCTTTTGAGAAGGGTTTCTGCAGCTCGTCACTGTGGGCATGGTGTGTATTTCTAGCTCCATCTCCCACTCTTCCCAACCAGGCAACCTCAGCCAGCCAGCTAGGATCATTAGCTCTTGGGGTTTTTCTTTGCTTGTAGCTTTGCACCCATTGTTCTCTCAGTGCAGGACATTGTAGTTTGTTCTCAATATTTGCTTCCCCCCCATGTGAAGATGTTTTACCTCTCATTCCTTCATCAGACTTGGCCATGTGATCTGTGGCATTTCTCAATTGCAGGATTAGACTCCTTTAATCCATTGGCACCTGGCTGGGTCATGTGACTTTGGCTAAAAAAATGCAGGTGAAACTGACAAATGCCTTTTCTTTCTTTCTTT